TTTTTCAGGACAATTGAGTTTCTTTATCCTGAGATTATTTGGTTTTGGGACAGAACTGTTGATGTTGTGTATTGTACCTAAGAGTGGTGTGTACTAGACCTCTGAATTGAAGACCTACTTGCACTGTAATACAAAATATTTTGTATGTGGACATATGATATTAAGGGGATTTAGTTGCTAGAGATCTTGGCTGATTTTGGAACTGTCTGCCTGAGATGGAAGGATCCATGCGTCTTTCTGGCTCCTGCCCTGCCCATCTGAAGGCTAGAATAGAGCGTGTAAGATGAAATCATCTAAGATAGTCTTCCTTTCAGGGATCAGTTATATAAACAGGAACTTTTGTTTTTACTTCTGCACTTGGGAAGAAGGGGAAAAATGACTGCATCTGTCTGTCCTGCTGCATGTACATCAAGATACAGATGTGTCTGATATTCCCTTACTAAACAAGGGCCATCTTATCTAGCTTGAAGTGGTAGATGTGCAAAGGAACATCAGTCAGGCAATTTTAATCCCAAAGTTTGTAACAAACCTGTAAAGACTTGTAACAAACTTAAGTTTTCTGAGATTTATTTTCTGATCAACAGGAAAAGTTGTTTGTTTTTAAAGGCACAGTGTTGCTGTGCATTTTGCTGAACCTAAGCACTGGAGGCTCTGGGTCATGCATGATAGCCACATCTCTAGTGCCTGTGCTGCTTTGGGTGTTGAGATTCATTGCTTTTGGGTCATCTCCATTCTGTTGAACTGCATTATGCACATAGCAGGAAACAACTGGTCAGCTTAGTTGGTGTAATTACCCCGAATTATACCAACCAGTCATAGCAGGGAAAGTGATGTAGCTTAGATGAGTCCTGGGGACTTGAATCTGTGCAGAAGCAAAAGTGACATTGGCTGGCTTGTCTTCTCTCTGATTGTGGTGCCTAACGCCTCAAAATAGAGGTGTAACATTCTTGTAGTGTAAGTGATCTAAAATATTCTGAGATTGCCAGTATCCCTCTGAATGTTGTGAATCTGAAAGTGGAGCAGGAGAATATTAATAGAGGCTTGTTTTGAACTTGTTTGAAATATGATCTTTTCTTTTTCTCTTCGTCTTTGTGTTCCAGGGTGCACTCCTAGAAAGTGTGGAAGAGGGGTGACTGATGCAGTAATCACAAGGGAAGAAGCTGAAAGAATCCGTAGGTAATTTTTCTCTTGCCTCTTTTAACTCTTACAAATGCTTACTTTAATGACAGTGTGCCAGTGTTTAAGGTGTAGCACAAAGCTCATTAGCTGAAGGAGGACGGGTTAAACTCGTTAAAACACTAAACTTTCTTATTTTTTTTAAAAGTCATCTTCCATTTTTGCTGTGGTGGAGTCAGTTCTCTCACACAGAGTGCATAGCTCCGTAGGGCATGAGTGTTGTAGAGGAAAAAAGGAAAATGAATTAAGTTAGTTTTAAAGGATTTTTCACTTGGCCTTTGAAAACAGGGCAAAACAACATAACCTTCCTTTCACACGAGTCTCTTTCTAGGTAACTATGAGCTAGTGCTGACCCTATAGTCCTCTATGAATATCAAGTGGTGAGTTTTAATCAAATAGTAGGGGACACTGTCAAATTATGCAGTTAGAAAAGTTATCAGCCTCTTGCAGCATGATTTGCGCTTGATAATCATGTAAGTGGGGAATGTCACTGTAAGGCTTGAAGCGATATGCAGCTTGTGTAGGTGCTTTGCTAGCTAGTTGATACAGCATTTCTGCATTGTACAGGTTTATTTGTACTGCCCCTAAGAATAAAGATAAGAGTTTTTATGTTTAATCTTACTTGGCCAGAATGTATTTGAAAGACTCTTTTGGGGGGGGGTGTGTTTTGGGGATTTATGGAAGGGGGCTACAAGCTCAGAAATGTTCTGCAGCACAGATACTTTATTTTCACGAAAGGCTGCAAGATTCCGTTTCAAATACATGGGCAGCTTGTATTAACTCAATGGGGTTATATCCGATGCATCAAATACCACTTACTGCAAAGTAACATGTTGTAAATAATGTCATTAAAGGACAATGTAATCGGACTTCAGTTCTCATCTGAGGTTATTGTTTTGCCTGCAGAATAGCAGAGAGGGGACTATCCTTGGGAGGATCTGATGGAGGGGTGAGCAGTGTCCTGTTACTTTTTACATTCTTTTACTGCCAAGGCAAGATTAGAAATGCATTTCCATATGCTCAAGGAGAAGAGATGGAGTATTTTTCCTTCCGTTCTGACTTTGAAAAAAAATTGTTTGCAAAGTTATTTTATTTCCCATTAATACTTCTGCTAGCAGTGTAATCTGTCTTCTGCCATACAGTTGACGCTTCCTGTTCAGTTTAGTTATTTCTAGTGCCTCTCTTGAACTGATTTGGTCTTCTCCATCTGCAAACAGTTACTACAGCAGAGCTGCACAAGTCTGACTTTGAAACTAAATTACAGTGGTTTACGCTATCATGTAAAGATGGGTTTTGTGTAGTGACAAAAAAATGCCATGTTATGTCTTAAGTAGACCTTTGAATAGTATTCTTTAAAAATGAAAACAAACCCACTTCTCTAACAAGCACATTCATTTTAACTGTTTTCTCCTGTCTTTGTTCTCAGGATGTTTTTGTGTACGAACAGAAACTGTTGCTTGAATATTTGTAAACACAAGAATTTCTTTAGGCCTCTGCTGAATTAGGGTGTATATTAGCAGAAAAGGAGAAAGGTTTCAATGAAAAAATAAGACTTTATTGTCCTCGTGATTGCTGAGGGGAAAAAACTGCAAAAAATATAACCCGTGAAACTGAAGCAGTGCTGCCCATCTGAAACAATATATTTATAAGACTTAACATTCTCTGTTCAGTCTGTAGGTTCCCTTGAACTTTTTTCACTTCTGTGGTTGCATAATTTGCCACTTTGCCTAGATTACTTTGCCAGTCAGGACCTTCAGCTTAACTCCTGTCATTAGTGCTGTCAAGTGCATTTTCTATCCTGTTCTTTTGGGACATACATGTGACTTTTTTCAGTAGACTTCCACAAAGAGGGATTAGAAGGGCAGTGTGTAACACAGTGGCTTCATGGAAGACCACAGGAAGCTAACGTCCAGCTGGGGGTCAGGGATCTGGGGAAACTGAGGCAGAGAGAGCTTGGAGGAGACATGAGGAGGGGTAAACTTGCTTCTCAATGCACAGAGCTGGGCGGGAGTCCTGAGCTGGCTTACTTGGACAACATGCCAGAGTATCAGACAAATGCAAATCCATCATCTACATCATTTTGGAAGCATCATTGTGAGTTGTGGGTTTTTTTTTTAAAGGGGAGGGAAATGGTGGTGGAGGGAAGAAGATTTTATTGCTGCAATAAAATAAGTCTGTTAAGAAATTTGATGTCCATTGAGAGGTCTGGGCTCTGACTCAGGTCTTCTCACATTTCTCATAATCTGTAAATGTGAGAAAGTTATTGTATGCTGTTACTCCTTAGGGAAAGGTGCAAGAAGAAAGTTGTGTAGTATTGCATTGAGGCCATATCCAAAATAGTGGATAAATTACTGAAAGATGCTAAAAATAAGAGCTGACCAGTGTTTCTGAGAGATCAGGTTTAAGAGAAGCTTTTAAATGCAGTCTCTATCTAGTTTCTTTTATGCCTCGTTCTGCTGTTTTCCTTTCTCTTTTGATCTGCATGCTTGTATTCCCCATGTGATGGAGTGAATCTTTTTCCCGATAGTGCTATCTTGGCTCCCAGATATCATTACTGATGGATGTGTGCTGATGATGTATAGATGAAACTCTCTCTTCATTTGAGACTCTTACCATTTCAAATCTCTTGCCTACATAGCATACAAAATGTTTTAAGTCTTACTTCATCTAGCTCCTTTGCCTGTATGCCTCTCAAGCTTCAAGCCTGTTGGATTAGGTCTAGCTTGTTGCTTTAAATTTCTTAGGCTTTACAGTGTTTGGATAATTCTGTCCAATTATGTCTGTTCTAAGACTATTTTTTTTTCCTTAAGAATTCCTTAGATAACTTCTTGTTTCTGTTTAATTCTTTCTTTAGCCACTTCGATCTCTGCACTATTCCAAATAAAACTTCTTCAGATTTCTACTGGGGTGCAGACTGCATTTTCATTCTCGCTGGTTTCCTTTTAATCTCTTTTAAGCAACATGTCTGATTTTTTTTTTATGTCATACTTCTTACATTTTGAATTCACAGAAATAGATTTGTGTCTATGTGTCTGGATATAATTTATTAATTTAAAGACCTAAACTCGCAGTTTGTGACTCTCAATTCTCTCCTCCTTTTGCTTGCTGCTCTTTCTGCTTCCTTGGAGTACTGAAGTATAGCACAAAAACTTGTTTCCCTTTCCATTCTTTTGTGTTGAGAAAGTCCTGGCAAACATCTGAATTATTGAAATCTCCCAGGAGTCATGCCCCAGTTGTCATGCTGAGCTTGCTTTCTTATCTTCCTTTAACTTTTCCTAGATTTATTTTTACTTACACACAGAGAGTGAAGCTAGAAGAGGCTGCTGTAATCTAGTCTAACTTTCAACAGAATCCAAACAGGAGCATCTTCTCCACCAGTATGCTGCTTTCTCTTCTATGTCTCTAAAATAGTCTTATACTCTGTTCCTTACTCACAGAATGTGAATTGCATTAGTTCTCTTGATGTTTGCCTAGCTTAGGTTTTTTCTTACTTATAAAGATAATGACATTTCCCCTTTTTCCCTACCTACTATTTTCTTGTACTCTATCCCTGCTTGCGTTACCACTTTAGTCATGATTCACTCTTTCACGTCTTTGTAGGTGCTGCCATCGTAACATCTCTCTAGTGTAAACAAAATGACTCATTTACTATCAGATCTATTGGCATTTACTTAGAAGCCCCAGAAAAGAAACCCTTGGTGCAGCCGGTCAGCTGCAGTCTGCTTTCTGTGTTGCAGCAAAACTGGCAGGAGTAGCCACTGAGACCTCCCTATTGCAGGGGAAAATGACATTTCTTAATGACTGGGAGAAGCAAACAACCTGTGTAGCTGTGATGCCAAACAAGGGTTTCTGATGTGGGCCCACCAACCCATGCTTAGAACAGCGGTTCTGCAGACCATGTCCCTCCTTATTCTGCTTTTAGCCCTCATAACCAAACTCCAAAGTTCTCAAGATGCTGTCAGCTCTGCATTTTCCAGGGGGAAGATAAAGCCTCTGCATAATACTTGTCCTATCTCATACTCTACTACAGGCTGCATAGTTTTCTTCCTTCCGAATCAGCTTCCTGATAGTTCTTAGGAAACACATGTGAGGACTGAAAGATGAACTTGTCAGTGTGTCTTTCACTTTACTTACAGCTGTGTGTTGGTGTGATTATTTAGACTTAACTCTCGGAAGCTGGAGAGGACCTGCTTGTGTCTAATCTGTATCTAGTGTAAACCTGTGCTGGACTCCATAGCTAAATACTGCATTTAATTTCTGCAGTAATAACCTGCACCTCCAGCAATCTGAATGATGTATAAATTTGATTGGTTACGCTTGTGTCTCATAATTAATCAGTCTTATTTTTAAGAGGCAGTACCTCAAGAACATAACCCTTGTCTGTCTAATCTCAAGATACAAGTAGGGAAGGGTATTTAAAAGTCATTGTTTTGAGAGTGTGTAAGACTGCCTGCAGTGACAGCAAGTTTGATGCTGCCCAGGAACCGGTGGCCATGTAGAACCTCTATTGCTCTTCCTTCTCAGCTCCAGTGTGTGAGCATTCCCACAGGAGGAGTGGGGAAGCTTTTTTTTGAGCTCTGACAGCTTCTCTGTCAGAAGTAGAAGTAAGTTTTGCATTTTGTTTGTCTTCTGGGCAGTGTCTGCTGTTTTCTTTTAAATGAGACTTTTTTTTAAACTTTAAGGGGTGGAGGAAGAAGGTGGAATTGCTGTAGAAGTGAATGTTAATGGTTGGCGATCCCTTTTAGTGAGGATCAAAGGCAGGGCCTATCATGCTTTGCAAGATGGTGAAACTGAGCCTTTTTGCCATATGCTGGGAAATGGTTGTTATTTGCATGTTCTTTTTGAATCCTTTTAGCAGTGAGAGGATGAAGAATGTGGGACTAATAATACCGAAGGTCCAAAAGAGCATATATTTGTGCCTTATTTTTTTGTTAAGTAAGTTCAATTTCCTTTCTATAAGTTTTGTAAACCAGGATATTGGGGTAGTTCTGCTAATCTCTTGGAAATAGGCGTGTGTGTATGTGTGTTTGCAGTGTTCCTGCCATCTTTAGGTAGACTTTGTAGAGCTTTCATCGTGGGAACACTGGCCTGAATTGCAGGCTGGTCCTTGATCAACAAGGACCAACCGTCAACACCGTAACGGTCTTGACACAGGCTTCCGCTAAGGTATTCTTATCAGTGCAGGAAATGATGCTGAAAATGTTTAATGTTCTGAAATGGCAGAAGCCAAAATAAATGTGTTTCAGTTTCTTTCTAAGGTAGCTGTTAAACAAATAGCTCCGTGCTCTTGTGCAATCAAATCCCTCTCTATGCTTGGCATTCAGTTGTCTTCCTCTGTCTGAAACAACCCTGAACAATATTCTTTTTCAGATTCCCTTTTCAGTCTTCATCTGGCTTTTCTAGGCTTTCTGTGGTAGCTGTTCTCTCTTTCAACTATGAATACCTGCAGTTCTTGGGGGTGTCTTTTATTGATTCATTTGGTCATTTAGGATCTTGCCAAAGGTAATCATCTGGAGCTTGAGGAGTGAGAAGAAATGTGTATGTTTGGAAAGCATGTTGAAAGTATTCGAAAGGCAGTTTGTTTTTAAATTAAATCTGTCTTTTGAAATGTGTCCTGCTACTTCTCCTTATCTGCTTTAGCATGATCACAAGCATATTTTTGAAGCTACGTGGGAGTAGTTTTACCTCTTCTAGCTTAGATTATTGTACAGAACCAGAAACCATTAAATGAAAATGTTTTCCTTCGGAAGCTTGAGTAAAGCTTATTATGAGAGCTGCTCTTGCATGAGTGTGAGATTACTTGTTTCCATAACAGTCCTCTGAAGCTTTTGGAGAACTTCTGTGGGAAGGGGAGGTCTGAAAAGCTCATGCTATGTCCACTTGAATAGCTTGTTACTTTATATATTTTTAAAGCTTTGTTCAGGGGTAAATAAAATGATTTGGGTAGGTTAAATAAAAGCAGGTTGTTACAATCCCTTTTGAAAGGGGGTGGAGTTCCCCTGATTCAGCTGTGAAACTCAGAGCAATTGAGCCTGCAACAATTTTCTTTTGTGGAGAGACTGTCATGGGTGTCTTCCTCTGACGTGATCCAGAGCAGGAGGGAAGAAAAGTGCTTTGAGGCTGAGGGTGAACGTGAAGCTGTATTGCAGCTCTGACATGTCTGTGCGCTGATGATCTTCTGCTGCTCATTCACCAGCCTGTCTGCGTTTAGGTAAAGATCAAAAAGTGGTTTCAAACAGCACTGTTCCAACTAAGCCCAGAAATTCTTCTTGCTGGTAAGATGGAAGTTATCATTCTTTCCAGGCAGTTCACCTAGTGGTATTATTGTTTGGAGTTTGTTAGAATAATGTGAACACTATGTGGTGCATTGAGAAATGCCAAATTCCAAGATGAGTGCTTTTGCCCAGATACTGTAAATCAAAGATGTCATTACTTTGGTGCCGGTCAGGTTAATTAACTGTTGCTACTTGATATTTCCAGTATAAAAAAATAAGACTGCTACTAAGAAGTCATATTTTTAAATACTGTTTAACTGATACAAAACAAACATGTATTTTGTGAACAGCAAGGGACATACAAAAGTGCACTTTATTCAATTTAGGGAAATAATTTAGAGTCCTGAGAGGTAGGGCCCTATCCTGGCAAATCTGAATAGTAATCTTAGCTTGGTCTGGAGTTCAGCAGAAGTGTTTGGCTTCAGTTGGATGAAGAAATGGATTGACTTTTCATATGTAAAAAACCTTTTTGCTCTTTGGTTTTCTTTTACAGCGGTTTAGAAACTGGGGAAAAGTTTGGCTCTAGTAAGCCTTGGAATTATAATTGTTCATTTAAACAGACTTTTATGTTGGTATTAAATGAGAAGTACACAGGAACTCATGGTGAAGGAGAAGTTTTAATAACAAATGTTGGGAAAGATAAATATTAGTGCTGCTATTTGAGTGCTTGACAAATGTTGGGAAACTAGTCATCTTTGTGTGGAAGAGAAAAGCCTTCGAGAAGGGATCCAGGAACACAGTCTTACCCCTAGCCCATGGAGGAAGACTCTGGCAATTCTGTATGTTGGATTTGTATCTCAGGAATAGCAGCCCTGTACTTTATTCATAGTAGCTTAATCTTTTGTGTATCTATACAGCAAACTGAGGGAGGCTTGTAGTTGTAAATTAAGCATTAATATTGTGGAACCCAAATGCTAGAAACTAGTATTTTTATTTGGGAGGCTGTGGAAAGTGAGAGCCAACTAGGGACAGTTAGTTAAATAATGATAAAACCTGTTCATGCTCATTTTTCCTACTTTTCTGTTTTCTTTCTCAGGCATCAATTTTGGACTTGCACTCAGGAGCTCTTTCACTGGGGAAGCATTTTGTTAATCTGTACAGGTAAAATGGGGCTGTGGCCTGCTGCCTCATGTTATCCTACACCTTCAGTGCTCGGTGCCTTTTCAGATTCTCAAGCCCTGTGGATGGGGGGTAGTAATGACAAACTGATGTTTGATGTTAATGACAAGCTTTAGATTCAGCACAGCTTCCGTGACCAGTTAAACTTCTGTGGCATGAAAACCAATCTCATGTTGAACTGGGCTCTTTGAAAGCTACTATTACCTTTATTTTCAGAGTTGTTCTTGCACCAGCAAATAAAAGTGTTTTTTCCACAGTTATAGTCCAGTTTGTCAGTAGTGGAAGAAATCAATTTGAATCCATGTCCCTGTGGACGGGGGGTAGTAATGACAAACTGTAGAAGCTTTAGATTCAGCACAGCTTCCGTGACCAGTTAAACTTCTGTGGCATGAAAACCAATCTCATGTTGAACTGGGCTCTTTGAAAGCTACTATTACCTTTATTTTCAGAGTTGTTCTTGCACCAGCAAATAAAAGTGTTTTTTCCACAGTTATAGTCCAGTTTGTCAGTAGTGGAAGAAATCAATTTGAATCCATGTGCTTATTTCATGATACGGGAAGGGATTTTTCATGCCTGGGTTGTCCATTATCAGTTGCTGCATGTTGATCTTTTAATGTTTTAACATTTAATCTTTGAGCAATGCTTTGGAAACATCATGTTCAAAAGCATTTGTAGGATTTTTTGTGTTGTGTTTTCATCTATTGACTGTGGAGAAAGCACAGATGGGGATGAGAGTGTACTGCCTATTACTCAGGCAGTCTGATTCAGCAATTCCTCCTTTTAGATTGTTTAATTTTTCAGGTACTTTGGGGACAAAATTCAAGACATCTTCACAGAAGAGGATTTTGCATTATATCGGTAAAGATTTCAAAAAACTGCTGAATGAACCACCAAACGTTGCTGTATTTTGTATAGAGTGCAGTTTGGGAGGGGATTGTCCTTTGGATTTAGATATATGGTTGAATTTGCAGCTCAAAATAGTAATCTCCTGTGACAATTAACATGCTTTGAGGGAAATAAGTAACAGGACCTTTTGGTGACTACCTGATAAATAACATCTGCTGCTTTGAACTTGGCTGCATTGCCAATGTCAGGACAGTATTGATGGTGTCAATGTAATGAGAATGATGGTAGCACCACATATTTCCCTTTCTGTGTAAGGCGTTGATGCCAGCCCTGCAGACCTGCAAGCAAGGAGAGCTGCTTCATCTGCATCCTGTGATTATATGCTGGAACACTACAGCTGGGGTGTGAAATCCTTTAGTATTAACTCCTATTTCACACACGTTATCCAAGAGGTGTTGTGTTAGATGATAAAGGCAATCCTATCCTATTATTACATTAGGAACTTGGGTTTTTTTGCGTAAAGTGTAGCAAAACTTACTAAAAAAAAACCCCTAAAAAATGGTAAAGCAGGAAGTGGAAGGATTTCAAATTACTAATATTCTGGCTAGAGGAGCAGAGCATACTTTCCCCCAAAGAAGCCAGAATATGAAATAGTGGTATAATGTAATAGCTTTGGCATCTGATGCTTTTAACTTTCCTGTAGACCTGCTCATATACTTAACGAAGACAACAAATGTAATGAGTTCAATGTGTCTGTGAAGGTGTGTGGCCAAAATTTAGGAACAAGCATTTCTTCGTTGACTAGACACAATAAATCTTCAGTTAAGCATTTCAGTTGCTTTCTCATAATTTAATGTAGCTGGCTTGAACATTTTAATTCTTGTCTCTTTTTTTTGCCTTTGTGAAGGAATATGATCTCCCTCTAGTGGTGGAAGTAGTTGCCAAATAGGTTTACCAGTTTTATTAGTAATTTTATTTGTCTTAAAATATTAACCACTTAAAGCTTATTTCTATTCAACAACTATTTTTAGATACTGTTGCCTTCATAGGTGAACTTCTTTAAAATGTGTTGTCTTCTGCCCCCAGAATCACAAAAATTTGTCCTGGATTATTATTGAACTCTGACTGTATAAAATATATAGTCTCTGCCTCACCAAGGTAGTGGGGAATATTTTGAAAATAGTCTTTGTTTTGTCTTCCATTCTGTAGAAGATCAAAGAATCTGTAGAAATACCATGAGTGTATGGAGGGGGTGTCTTACTAAAGAATATTTCTGTTTCATGTTAACAGAAACATTTGTGTTTTCAATAATTCTTATTGATTTCTGATCCTTATACTGTGAGATGAGACAGCTGCTAGGCAATATCAATATTCCATTGCTATTTCTTGCAAATATGGGACATGCTTCAGTCTGCTGGATACAAATCTAATACAAAATACATTATTAAATGCTTCTGTTCATATTAATGGCAGTGCTTTAATGGGCTGTAGTACCTTGTGTCCTTAATGAATAATTTTTATGCTATTCTTGGGAGCACTTATTTTCATTACTTTCACTTACCTACCAAAGTCAGTTTAAAAATACGCTCTTGAGAGAAATAACTAAGTGTAATTCATGTCTAAGCATTACCGGTTGCAACAATAGCAATGCCTATCTGAGTAGGCATTCTGAGCCAAGAGGCTGGTTCCTAAACTGTCTCTGTCAAAATTATGTTGCTTCAGAATCAATTACAGTTTCTAGGCTGATGCTTTAACCACCATCTGCCAAGCATATTACAGCAATTCCTCTTCTTTTGTACAATAGATGCATCTTTGTCCAGAAGAGAGACCTGAATGCTTGGTTTAAGGGTTGTGAGTTTGGCAGAAAATGGCACCGTCAACAATTTATTCCAGAAATCTTACAACTTACTGAGGTAGAGACATAAAAAGAGCAGAGGAGGAGCTGGTAGTGTGCTTTCTCCCTTTATTCATTGGCTTGTGTTAACGTTTTCTGGCTGTAGAAGGGCATTGCTTAGTCTGCTGCTACTGCCTTTGGTGCTTTTCACTGGGAGCAGCACGGAGGTGCTGACAAGTGGGCTGGAGAAGTTCTGTAGTTTTGCGAAGATTTGGGTGTTCCTGTCACCGTACTGGAATTGCACTTTGCAGTGGCTCTGAAGGGTAGTGTTTCTGGGTGTGCGTTTTTTTGCTTGGTCTGGTAGAGCTTGTATCTTACAGAAACTTTTCTGTGGCACTTTTTTTTTACTCAGACTTTTATGCTGCTGCTGATACATTCAGCTGGAAACTTTGCGATCTAGTGAATATCCTTTCTTTTAAAGTTGTATGTTCCTTAGACTTCTAAGGCTTTTTTTTCCTTCCTCATCACCCTGAATCCAAAATAAATTTTAGTTACTGCTTCTGTAGGTGATCATATGCTCGTCTGCCTCTCCCTGAGTCTGGCCTGTGCATTTTGGTATCATCCAGTGTCAGTGCATATGTGCAAGGACTGCTGCTGACAAATTCTGGAAGGGATTCATTTGTTACTTATGTTGTTGACTGGATGCTGTACTTGTATATTTATTGCCATAGCGGAGCTCTGCTTAGTGCATCTGATCTGAAAAAGAATCCAGTCTTGAACATTTCCTTTCTGACCCTATCATTTCTCTTTAGGAAGGTGATCTGTGAAGGGTTTTTCTTACGAGCAAAGCTTGCTGGAAAGGAGTCTTGTTTCCAGGGATCAGCACATCAAGTTTGAGTTACTTTGCTTGTTTTTTCCATGTTAGATTTGGAGTTCATTGAAATTAATAAATGACTTCCTAGTGACTTCAGCATGTGCTGGATTAGGCCCTAAAAAAAATAATTTGATTTTTCCCCAGTTTTCACAAATATGTCTGAGAGCACTGAAGGCAAACCAGAAGATTAAGTGTCCTTCCCCCGAGACTTAACATTTTTGACTTTGCAGCCTGCACATCAAGCAAAGTTACTTTTGCTTTGTTATTTTCAACTTTTTATTATAGGCGAGTTAACCCCTGTTGCTCATTGAACTCTGATGTGAATAGTCAGTATTCTTTTGCCTGGTGACCCCTTTCTTTAAGGAAGGCTGTTGCTATAAACTTTCTCCCTGGACATGTGATGTCACGGTGTATCTGTATTATGTGTTAGCACAGCTGTAACTGCAAAAGGCAAAGACCTGTTCTTTGAAGCCTAGTCCAAGATCCATTACAGTCAGTGGGGCTTTTTCATAGTTTACGATTTGTTTTGTTGAACAGCAAATTATTTATGTGCATAAAATTCATGTTAGTCTGCTACATATGCCGTGATTGTCTTGATTAAGTTTGAGTGATGCTATGATATGTAGGATGACAACTCACAGGGAAGCAAAAGGCAGGAGCACACAAGTCAGCTGAAGAAATGCAAGGTTGGCACCTCTTGTCACCTTGTGCACTTGAAGAAGCTACTGTGATTAATACGTGAAGCCAGTAGGGCACAGGGAAGTAAGAGGCCAGCAGAATGCTTCCACACCCAAAAACCAGCTACCTGGGTCATCTGAAGGCAGCTGTTTCTGTAAGACCAGGATAGCACATAAAGTCGTACTTGCAGACCTGTCATCTCAGCTGCTTCATTACTGTCTTCCTATTCACTAATTTCCCTGCCTACTTGATTTATAAACATGAAAAAGCAAACTTATGAAAAATATGCTCATTTTCTCTTTGCAGCGTACTTAAACTGAGTTTTTCCTTTTCTTTTGGTAACCCACTGGCCAGCCCAAACCAGGTGGGCTTTTGGCTGCTGTTTTTGTCTGTCGGGAAGAGCTGAGTAGAGCTGTTCTTCGTGCTTGGTTTGTAAAACATGCAGTCTTGCCCAAGCCACCGCACGTAAGTGTCAAAGAGGAGGGCAGCTTTAACAGAGCCTTATAAATGCCAAACAGAAAATCTTAATAGAAGGCTTTTGAAAGTGGAAAAGGAATCAGCCTGAAAGAGGAAGCAGTGCTGCTTAGAGAGGAATACAACTACTGGAGATTTAAAATTATGTCAAGACTGTGGCCTAACTACTTCAGAGTTAGATATATTCCAGCTGGCTGACGCAACTGGCCACCCAGTGTCAGAGCCAGGGAATATGCTGCTTTAGTATTTGTGGGTTAGGCTATTAATGCTTGTGTTGGGTCGTTCAAAGTGCCAGCTGCCCTCAATTCATGATGAACTGAAATGAGTAATTATATTTAATGCTTTTTGGGAAACGTAAGGCAGCCGCCTCTGAAGTCCTACTTCTTGGAAGGAAAACAGACAGAAAGATCAGGCTCCCACAGGCATGAGAGGGAAGACCTGTAGATCCTTTCCTGATGTCAGTTTTATAAACTCTACCACTATGGAGATCTCTACTTGAAACCTCAGTTCATGCAGCCGTGTAAATACCTGAAAATGTCAGCTTTAAATTCACTTAATGGTTTTGATATTTCACATGTAAAATAGCTTGAATTGACCCTTAAAAACAGAAAGTGGGACAGGTTAAAAATCAAATCTCTGTGTTTTTTGTTTTATTTTTGGTGGGGGATGAGATAGGAACAGAATTAATATTTAGCATTTTTTTAGTACTTGCGGAAGTACATTTTTAAGAGGTGACTTTCACAGCCTAACACTGTAGGTCTGGTTTTAGTTCTGTCACTTCTTTTTAGTCACTGTTTAAGTTCCCTAGAGAAATACTTGACCGGGGCGGGGGGGGGTGGAATTCTTGAAAATCATGCTGAAGTTCAGTACTACTCAGTGGAGAAATAAATGTCTGACACAGAAAAGATGCAAAACTACTAATGTAATTGCATGCAGAACTTCAGAATTATGCTTACTTGGAGTTTCTTGTTTGTGTGCTGCTTTTGAAGCACTTAGGAAGGAACGAAGACTAATACAATAGCTAAGAATGTGTTAAAATTAGAAAACCATATAGAGATTTTAAGAAGCATAGAGGATTACATTAAATCCCAATGTTTTAATTTCATCTCACCGTGTTATTGCATTCTTTGCTGGTTTTTAAATTTCTTCAAAGTTAAATACATACTAGCTGTATGTGTTTACTGGTGGGATTTGCCAGTGGTATTCCTCATTAATCACAAATCTCTTCTGTTAGAGGTGGCATTGACTGAATGAAGGCTGGCAGTTCTAGATGGCCCTGTTCTGGCCCCGTATGCAGCGATATCTGTCCTGAAAGATGGATGCTGCTATTTAAGCAGTTCTGTATAGTAACACACGGGTGATTATTAGTCTTCATAATCTCAAAAATAAAAATCCTGTTCTTTTCTTCCTGTCTCCCAGTAAAAACACAGGAATAGCCAAGGCAGAAAAAGTTTGGTTCAATCTTTCAAAACAGTTGGGAAAGACATCTTGCGTTTTTAAGGAAAATCTGGTTATGATACCAATACATATGTTGACTGAGACCCCTGAGTTTCATAATTCCAGAGACTGCATTGGTTACTTTAAAATTAGTGTAAAAATACTTGAAAGTACTTCAGAGGCAACCCTTTATGAAGATACAACTTTCTAGTTATCTCAGTTGGATTAAAAATTTATATGTGAAGCACTTTAATCTTTTCAGTAATTAATTAACAGTGATATATACATGGAATTTTTCAGGAAAACAGACTCTTTACATAATGAAATATTAAAACCTAGGCCACAGGAGACAAATAATTTTTTTTCTTGATATTCTGAGACTTAAAAAAAAACAAACCAACAAACCCCAACCTAAAACACTGTGGGTTCTCTTTTTTTTTTTTATTTTTTATTGTAGTAGATTTCCCTTATTTAAGGCAAAATAAGAGAGAATGTATGGGTGTGTGTTCCCCATGATTTATTAGCTAAGGAAGAAGCTTAGCCCTGACAAAGCAGTAACTGTGAATGAAGGAGAAGAGAAGCGTGTCACTTAGCGTGCTGTTCTGTGTTGTGTCTTTGCAGTGATGTGAGACAGAGAATTCAACAAAGGATTGCTCAGGCGTTTGGTATCAGCTCTGCTTCCATGTACCTGACTAAGCCAACATTCTTCTCGAGAATAAACAGCACAGAAGCCAAGACAGCACATGATGAATACTGGCACCCACATGTTGACAAGGTAAGTAGGAGGCTGAGATGGGATGCAAATGTCTCTATTAGATCACTTTGAAGTAATTTTGTGTTAAACAATCAGTCAAACATGTTTGAAAACTGGTGCTTGTAAAAATCCTTCAGGGGATGAACTTAATGGAAGTATAAGTGAGTTTTAGAAACATACTAGTACATTCCTTATTTTATTTTCTCTACTTCAGCTTTGCTAGAATTAACAAACTGTGTGAACCACTACTCAGGAATTTCTTTTGTCAGAAACATTGATTGAATTGACCTGCACCTACAAAGTGTTTCAGTTTCATCAGGCCTGCATTTCCAGCTGGGGTATTGCTGTTTCAGCCAGGTCTGGTGGGAGCAATTTCAAAGTGGTCAGTCGGTCACTGTTGTTAGTTGATCTCATCCTCTTGATAAATGCTTAACACTTATACTTCAGTTACATGTGAGCTGAGGCTTTCTTACCCCATGTTCTTCAATGGGGATGCAGTACCCTTTTTAAATAATTTGATGTTTATTTCTGAATTTAACTGATTTCAAAGGTTCTGTGCAGCATAGCACAATAAAAACTGACAATGGAAGTCTCAAATAAGAAGAAAAAAACCACCAAACAACCCCAACCCAAACAAAAAAGCCCCACACCAGAATACCCACATTTCATGGTTTCAGGATTTAAAAATTAGAGTCACTCTAGAGTGAGTCATGGATCACCCAAGATGGAACCAAATAAAACCATCAAAACCATCAAAATCTAAGTTACGCCTCAGTGCTCGAATCTCTATGTGGGCAGTGTACCTGAAATATCTAAGATGAAAAATCAAACAGAAATATTCCTTGCCTTCCTGGAAAAAGTCAGTCTGAGGCCAGTATAATATCTGTTGTTGCTCACAACGTTGGTGTAAGCTCCTGTGCCCTTTACTTGTCATGTAGGCAGAAGCAGCTCAAATTTCAAAAATGTGGTGACAGTGATGATACCTGGTACAACCGCTGTTTGAAAGAAGAAAGTAATGCAGGTGGAACAAAGAAGAGACCAGCGTTTTGATGCTTCTTGTTTAAAAAGCTGTGATGTAACCATTGAGTAAGAGTGGATGTAGGACCAGAGGTGGTAGGGATGACTTTGAGGTGCCCGTTATTTTGACTAGTGCTGGTAGGAACTGGTTGCAGGGAGCAAATTGTGCTGGTGGGGTTCGTGAGAATTCCATCACATGTTGCACTCATTTCCAAGAGACACCAAATAAACTAGTGATTCTGGTTCTGTGAAGTGCAATAAATTCATAGGTTCCCCATAGTTTTTTTTCCACACTTTCAGAGAATTGAATTTGACTGCCAGAAGGGAAGAGAAAGCAGTAAATTTCAATAGCTGATGGCTATTTTCTCCACTTTTTTCTTCCAGCCCAAAAAAGTATATTTTAGCATTTCAGACTCTGATTTATTACTGTAATGAGACTTGTGTCTGCACAAGCATTAGGCTTGCCAATACTCTCTTTATTCTCTTCTGCATGTGTTTTGCATTGGTAAACGAATAAGGTGGTTGAATAACCTCACAATTAAGTGTTTCTACCTAAATCTCTCCTATAATGTACAAGTTACTTTGTCATTTAGAAGCAAATTTGTTTCTATGAAGAGAATCTCTGTTATGGCATCCTGACAGTGCCTGTACATGATGGACAGCAGGCTAGATGTTTTGCTGTTTTTATCCATCTGTTTTCTCCACATTTTGTTTATCTTGCAGGCCGTCTGTTCAGGGAGCAGATACACCAACTGATTGGCCTTGGCTTTTTCTAACCTGCCCCCAGGTGCAAAAAACAAAACAAACACAAAATGTGGTCTCTTAAGCTTGCAATGTGTAACCTAAACCTTAATAGTTTCTATACTGAATAATTGGGTATCTGATTTATGACAGTAGTGAAGAGAATTATCCCAGTTGGGGCGGTTACCAAACACCTTGTTCATATAGAATTTGCCCTCCACAAAATAGCATACCTGCTGTAAAATATGAAAATGTGACTTATGCTAAATTGCAAGGTATGTTCTGAGAGAAGTATTGTTTAGATCACACTGGGAGTGAAAACTGTAGCTTGTCCTGTTTATATAAGGAGTTTGAACATTTTTTTCACTTCTGTAGCAGCTGACTTCTGCAGTAGGTTGTCTGTATCGGGAAGGCTAAAGCATTCAGACCGTTAAAGTACTTTTTGTCTGTGCTTTAAGCTTTGTTTCGGGTTTGGGTGAATATATTTTAATGTGGCTATTTACATTCTTGTTCAAGAGCATCCTCTCAGTAAGGATTGCATGGGAATATGCCAAAGTTGGGCCACTCTCTGTGCTGTCGTGACAGCAACATTGCATGCTAAGCTGGGAGCCTTATGTGGATCAGTTCCCTTCCATTTTTTGGGGGAAGGACAAGGGAACAGGACTTCCCTGGACCCCAGCCACACCATGGGTGCGGTGGACTAGAGACCTGGAGCAGAATTCTTGTGTAAGTGCTTCTTGAGCTCATGACTTGGGGGTGCATTTCTCAATCTTCAGTCTTCACATGGAGCAAATGCTCTTGCCAGTGCAGAGGGTGTTGGAGAGAGATGGACAAGCCGCTATGGGCTGAGATCATTCTTGTGGAAACTGCCCCGGCTTGGTGGTTCATCCCTTCTCTTAAGATACAGGACTTCAGCTACTACCAGATTATAATACAGTTATTTATATGGTTTAAATAGGAGCAGTTTGCATTGCCTGCTTGAAAATTCAGAATTTGAATCGAACTAATGGTGCCTTACATAGGGTCTGATAGAGATTCATCCTTGATTCTGTTCGCTTCGTGTCCATCATGGAAGTCCAAATTACATCATCATGTATCATTGCTACTGGGCACTGGCTGCCTTCACTTCTGGTGCATCATTCACTTGAATTGGCATCAAAGGAATAACTTGAATCCTTTCCTTGCTGCACAAACAAGACTCTAATTCCTCTCTCCTCTGTAACTTCTGTTTGAGTCAAAAGGTCTGGTATTATTTTTCCCCTCAAGTGCAATTGGAACAGAGCTATCTGTGGATGTAGCATTCACATACGTGTTTGCCAGATTATGGCTTACAGAAAATGTTACAGTATGTGTGGAATGTCTGCATATAACTTTATCCTACTATAGGTGCACATTATCTATACCTGTATGTATATTGTTTCATGTTTAGAAAGAGGTGAAAAAAAAAAACTATTGGTAGCTGATCAGGCTATGCAGGAGACTGAATTCAAATAGAAGGTCAGTAGGTCAGAAAATATTTCACAGAAGGTGAAATAGGCTAGACAAATAGTGTAGCTTCACAGGTTGTCTTCAGTGCAGTCAGCCTGCCTTGTATTTTGATTTTTTTTTTTTTACCAACAAATTAAGTTTCACTTACCACTTCCAGACTGCAGTTGAAAGCAAGGAAAAAAAAGCATTGCTATTAATCTGAGGTAGGAAATGCGTGCTAGGTAAGAGCAGTAGTATTCTTATGTGGCCTCCAAAACAAGTGTGAATACTAGGGATTTGAAGAAAGATCAATAAAACTCAGCATGTTAAGTATTTTGCCAGTTTGTTGGATGCTTTTTTGTTCTATAATTGTTTATGCTGTCCTCCTGGAATAGGGCAAATCACTTTATGTATCTCTGCATAATAACTAAACTGTGAAGGTTGCTCCTAGAAGACTTCAGGGTTGTTTTTTCCCCTGCCCCTTTCCAAAAGAAAAGTAGAATTAGCCTTTGAAAAATGAATCTGACACATTTTTTTGTTTCAAAGTCACACTGTTGGTTCAAAGATGTAGGCTGCTTGGGGCACACAAATCCTGCTCTTGCTTTTTTCCCCTGTACTGCTGAGTCTATTGCAATTCTATTTCTCAATCTGAATATCCTTGGATATTTGGTTTGGAATACTTTAACTGCATAATGGAGTAGCGCAGTTCTATTGTGTCTCTATGGGGCTTTGTTTTTTCCCTAGAATGTATTTGGGTTTTAGTTACATAAGAATGGAAACCCTGAAATCACCCAAATGACTCATTTAATCTTGTTGAATTTATAAGCATCTAAATCAAATAGAGCGTGTTGGCTTAAGATGTGGAGTTTCATCTTGCATGGAATTTGTTTGGAGCTGGGCCTTTCAAATGTCTGGTTTATAATGGAATTGCTGTTGCACGGTCAACTCTGACAGCAATATAGTCTTATAATGTTCTGTAGTGGAAGCGATGCAGGACTTAGACTTCTGCAGTTCCCTGCCTGGGCGAGGATCCTGTCATCCTTCCCAGAATTGTCAGGCTCTGCTATAAGATCAGTTTTGGTTTGTTTCTTTTAATTTCTTCTATTGGAGCTATTCCAGGACTTCAGTGCAACTTTTTTTTTAGCCTATGCTTGTTCATGGTCAGTTTATAGCGATTTTTCTCCTCTCCTGCCAGTTCCACCTCCTCCCATCCCCCTGTATTTATAAGTAGCAATCGTATCCCTCTTCAGCCTTTCCTTTTCTAAGCTGAACAAGCCAAACCTTCAAATCTCCTTACCTGTGATATGCTCTCCATCTCCTTGACCCTTCTACTGGCGTGCTCTCCTCCGGCTCTTGAGGCTGTCATCACTGATAGCAGCTGCTATTTGTTCTAGCAGACTTTTCACTCTTCTTTTTTCTTCCCCTTGTGTTGTTAGACATTTATGAAATACATCAAGAGATCTTTCTTCTGCCTTAGGACAGCATCGTCTCTGAAATCTGAGAAAGTTCATTGTTGTGTCTGTTCAAACTTGCTACCTCAGCTTACAGTTACCTTACAGCCCCTTGCAATTCACAGACCTGCTATTTGGTGTTTTACGTTGTCTGCTAAATAGATACTACCAACATGTAGAACATTGGAAGTAGCTATCAAGGCTATTTTTGTGATTATCTGCATGGAGAGATAGGTAGAGGCTTAGAGGAGAAGAGCAGTTTTGACTTATTTCTGCAAGATACCATGCTAGACCTATGCTGATTGGAAAATGAATATATATTTGTATTTTCTTCTGCAATGGAAAGCAGAGGATTCTGTACTACATATCTACCTTAGTAACTGCAGACCTATTGGATATTCCTGCAACTGTTCAAGTGCATATAAATATGTGTCCCTCAAAAACCCAAGGGAACCACAGTGCAAAATACAGCTGGCTAATCCTGACAATTAGTTGTATTTATAATGATAGGCTTTGAAGAAGGATGATATTTATATCATTATGATTATCTACCATTAGATATTAGCTGTGTTTGACTCATTTGGGTAAAGGGTACTCAAAAAGAGCACACTAACTGTATGAAGTATCAGGCTAAATGGAAATGCCTGCATTTTTTTCTGTTGAATTGTTCATAAGGAGCTACAGAAACTTGATTTGCTGCAGTGTGCCTGTATGGCTTATCACCTGGTTTTAATGACAGCTTTTTTCATGTAGTTTGAACTTCTGGTTCAATTATTAACCTTTCTGGTACTGGAAGTCATTGCCAGGGTGATAAATACATTTGATATAAATGGGGGCTTCTAGCATTTTAAATAACTGAGTATAATTTAGTGCCTCCTTTCCAGTGTTGCATTTCTGAGGCCTTGGCTGCCTGCTGAGAGTTAGTAATGAACAAGAACAGGAACAGAAAAGCCATTTTCCATTGCATACTAATCCCCAGATTAGTCATCTATAGAAATCAGACGTGTTTTGGTTTGTAGTCATCTTCTAAAGGTTTAGAATTGGTAAAGCCTCCTTGGAGAAGATGGGGAGTGCACTGATGGAGCAAAGATCGCTGCACCCCTGAAGAGTTCATAAAAACAATTTTAGTGCATTAGACTTGCAAGCGTGAGTTGCATTAACTTCTTCACTATGCTGCCGACTCTTCACGGGCCAGAAGACTTCCTTAAACTGACTGGAAGTTTTATCACCAAATCAATGAAGGTGACAATAGCTTTGCAAAGCTGGTTGCATGAGGAGGGCTGTAGAGTGGCTGTTTTGACATGCTGCAGTACCACGTGCTCATTAATTCCCGTTCATTGCCTTGTATACTACTAAGGCTTGGTTAAATATGGGGAGAAGGGGACTACCAAAACATTTCTCTTGTTCTTGTTATTCAGACTGTATAGTACAGCATCTCACCAGATTTGGCTTTCTTCCTTTAAGCCCTTATGGTCAAAATAATAAAATGAGTAAGAATGAAAATGCCGTCTTATGCCATCTGCTGCTATGTCCTCTTTAGCCATTGCCCTTACAGAATAATATCTACAACTGCTGTTGAGCCAAAATTTAACTGGGGCTAATAAATGTAACTTAAACCAAAATTGAAAATATTTAGCAAACTTCTAAGTTTGGAAGTAGCACCTACCTCTAACAGTCACTAGGTCAGTCAAAACACTCTGCAAATGCTGTGTATTTATGCAGCACTGCTGCACTGCCCATTTTGCTGTTTGACAGTTTAATGCAGAACTTGATTGAGTTGTGTGAAGTCTGTGAAGAAATTGGAGAATACAGCCATTTATGTTAAGTGTATTTTTAATTATTGATGACATGTAGATGTGAAAAGGAAATATTTTCAGAATCCAGCTAAACTCAGTGTCAAATATTTAGATAGCTTCACTCTGAGCATTATTATATACTTTTTTTTTTCCATCTTCAACATAATATCCAGAAAATAACCCCAAACTTTAAAAGGAAGGAAAATCACTTTATTATGCTTCAAAGTGGAGTGTTTGGTCTGTAGGCTGAGAGGTAGCAGAGACTTTGTAAGTCACATTTGAAGGTTTTTAAATAAAACCTGTATGGAAATGAGTAAAAGTTCCCCCAACAAATGTGTGTTTACTTGGAAGGTCTGATTCACTGTTACCGTGAAGTTCCTGCGTGGTAGTTGGTGACAGAGTAAAAGGTTTCCAAAAACCTATAACTGTGATTAGATAATGGGTGGAATTAATTAGTCAAAGACTGTTCTTGGGTTGTCTTTGACCCTTAACCTTATGGTGAAATTTTTATCTTGAAATAGCATAAGTAGATCTGAGTCCTCCTGTATTTTTGATACAATGCAAAGGTCTAACTTCTGACTATGTTGTTTAGTAGTTGTTTAACTAGCTGTTTAGTAGACTTTGTCTGACAGAAATCAGTAAGAGTGCTTGTTTAATTATGGAAACTAATAATAGAAATACAAAACGTAATGTGCTAGTCTTACATGTAGTGTGTGTATAAACGTAATAGAATAGACTAATGAATATATATAATTTCTATAAAAAAATTCTCAGCTTTCAGAGATCCCTTTATTAAATAAGTGAAAACAGGAAAAATAGAAAAAACCATCAGATCATCTGCTTAATTATTCATGCTCTGCAGAGATGAGAGTAAAATTTGGTAACGTTTGGTAATACTGTTTTAGGTAACTTACGGCTCCTTTGACTATACTTCACTGCTCTATCTCTCTGACTACACTGAAGATTTTGGTGGTGGACGGTTTGTGTTTATGGATGTGGGTTCCAACAAGACGATAGAGCCCCGTGCAGGTAAGGGTCTTGGGTTGCCTGCATTAAGGCAGGCCAAATTGTGCTGCTTATTGTGGGCGGGCTGATGGAGTGGAACTTTGTTTTGTGTCAGCAGTAACTATGGAATAATGTAGCTTTTTGTCTTCAGCTTGATTACATACGAAGTAGAGATCAAAAAGGCTAAAATGTGGCCACAGTTTGAAATATCTGGAGATAGGCCACACGAAGTGACTTCCTTGAAAGCTGGAGGGCTTAGAACTGCAATCCAGTTATGACAGCTTAGCAGGTCACTATGCGTCAAGAGCGAAGATAACTGAGTACAGCAAATCCAAAATAAAGCAATTTGTCTTAGACTGGCCTGAAATTCCTTTGCTGTTCAAGGTGGGCCTTAATACCCTGTAACTGATGTGGGCTGAGTGTGAAGATGATTGATTACCACAGCTCTGCTAACCTGCGGTAACATGATGAACCATGTTAACTTGGTTGTAAGTCCATACCTGCTTTCAGGAGGTCTGACAGGGATGAGTATTCTGATGGCTGTCAGTTATACATTAAAAAAAAAAAAAAAAAGGCAAACCTTTCCCTAAGGCTGGTTTAAGATTTTTCTAATATGTGGATCATTTGAAATTGCCATTACTCTGGGAAATGTCCCTAGGAAGAAAGAGCTTAGCTTCAACTCATCTGTCTGGCAAGTGAGTACTGAGCGTACAGCAGTGTAACCTTTTATGATGCAAGACCAGTCACACTTTCACAGAAAAAAAAAGGACAACTTTATATTCCTACTGAGTTCCATCTTTTTTTCAAGAGAAAAGATGGGATTTTACTCATTTAAAGACAGTCTCAGTAATTGTCTGCTGACAGGCATTACCGCAAGCAGAACTGACTTCTGCCTATCGCTACCTGAAAACGGGGATGGGTGTAGGGGTTTTTTTTAATGTATCATAGCAATCCACTTACCAGCAGTAACACGGGCTTAGATGAACTCTGAGATTATCTGTATTCTGGGTTTGGTATGAAGAATTGTATGTTTGATTACTTTTGCTTTTGTGGTTGGAAGTAAACCCTAAACTGAAAGTACAGTCTTTAGCAAAATGCTGCCACCAGTATTTTGAAAGGGAACATATTACACTATTTCATTTCCAGATGCAAGTCTAAGGTTATCATGTTTTGATAGCTGTAGAAATCAGAGTTGAATTCTAGGTAGCTGGAGGACAGCTATCTCCTTGCACAGTACAGGGGTGCTCAGTCCGACCGCTGTACGCAACGTGCCCCTGACTTCATTTCAAAAAGTCTGCAGCTGTGAAATTGCTTCCATTCAGCCCCATCCAGTTAATTTTCAGGCTCTGCTGCAAGGTGTTTGCTCTTTGTTGTTCCTGGGGATGAAGGGGAGCAGACGAATTACAGAAGAATTTTTTTAACAGCACCTGGTTTTGGCCATTGCGTTTTACAGGTGGTTGTATCGACAGTAGGTGTGCCACAAAACTGGGTAAACACACCTTTTTAAAACAAAACAATGCAAATCTTGGAGGGAATGGCCTTTTTTGAAAGATCAAATGTGCTACATGTACACAACAGAAAATTAAGTTTAATGCCAGTTACACATTTCTCAAACACTCCTCTGTCTAAACACAGTTGTCAGGGTCCGGTGATTGTACCAATCCCTGTGGTGCAATCTAAATAACTACTAACATCCTGTGAGAAAAGCTTTAGAGATGAAGCACAATGTGAAGGCGACTGCACTTAGTTTTCCCCTTGCTGATAAAATGCAGCTTATGAGACAATGTGAACGAGGGGATGCCCCAGGGTGTTTGTTGCTGGTACAAGTTGATGTATTTCTCATGTTCAGAATGTTCCTTTGCAGTGTTGTGGGGTTTTTTTCCCCCCCTTCCCTCTTTGTTTTTTTGGGGGGTTTGCTTTAGGCTTCTTTTAAGCCTTTGTGCTTCTCCTGTCACTCCAACCCAACTTCTAAACCATGTGTTGATAAGCTTTTATGCTTCTCGTTTAGGAGATTCAGACTTTTTTAGAGATGACTGTCATAATTGCTGGTTCAGTTTTAGTGCATGACAGGTAATTTACTTTCTTCGTCTTGCTAATGCCATTTCAGTTCCAAAACCTGGCACTTCTTCTTGTCTCAAAGTTAGTCTGCGTTTTCAGAGCCTGGTACTGTGTGCCAAAATGAGCACATTTGTTTTTCTGTGAGCAGTAATTTGTTAGTGTCAGGCTTTACAGTAGGGAACAGAAAGGCATTGTTACTGATGCAGCAGAGCAGAAAAGCAGTAATTGAAAATACAAAAGATGACAATTAAAAATAAAACATCGGGGTTTCCTGTGTTTTGGAGTGCTGCCTAGGCAAGTCCCACGGCTGCTTCAAATGCTTTCGTGGCACTTACCATTTAAGGATCAGTCTTAGTCCAGACAGGGAAAACTGTTCTGTTAGAATTGGAGCCCGATTTTAAAACACTTACCGCTTCTCTAATTATCAGGCCCGTAAGTCCTGATTCTCACATATTTGAGTGAAAGACTCTCAATATAATTTATAGCATAGTCTATAACATTGCCTAGTTCAATTACTGACACCTCTTTCTTTAAGAAAGAATTATAATGTATTAACCTAGAGGCTCTTGAGATGTTTTTTCTTTGTAAGGGGCACGAACAAATCACCACTGTGGTGCCAGTTCACATGTACAGACCTTTGGCTAATTCATAACCAAATGTGGCATTAAGGAACACATCTATCTTCTGCCCTGATGGGCTTCAGAAGTGTATATGTGTCTTTTGACTTAAGTCAGGACCTCTGTCTACTGCAAGAAACTCACTGTACCATGAGTAAGAGAATTCTTGGTGCTAAGTGAAATCCTACTTTAAAAGGAAAACTTTTTTTTTTTTACGAAGAAACAGCTCTAAGGTAGTATCTGTTGCTTTTAAATGGCTATGTTACCTCAATTTTGGTAATGGAATTATTAGCATTTTGGTTTTATCCCTCCTAGCCAGGGTAGCTCTGTTCAAGAGATGAAATGAAATACAGCAACAGTTAGAATGAGGCTTTTCAGAAGCCCACAGCCCTTTCAAGACTCACTTTCTTTTGCTGCTGTGAGACATGTTTTAGTAATCCTCAATAGATATAGGAGGATTAAGAATAAATAGCAGACACTAAGGCGTTCCTTTTAATGATAAAATCGGTATACTTTCTGCTGCTACTAAATTTATCAGTGTAAACCATATTTAATATTTCACAGTATTTGAGTCTTGTGTGAATTCAGGGACCAGCAATATTAGACAGGTCACAGACTTCACTTTATGATAAAGTGTAGATGAAACCCTGCCGTTGGAATGAAATCTCTGTACCAGTTGTGTTCCTTATTTGCACATACATTTCTTGGTTTTAAGGCCAGCTTTGCTGCACTTATTGTCAACTCACAAAGGAATTTGTTCTTCATACAAGTTGTTTATCATGTAAGGGTGGAAGGAAAGGTTGCAATCACTTCTGTGTGTTTGTGGAAGAAAATAACCTATGGTGCAAAATGAATTCTGTGCATTGGAGACTGAAATGTGACTCTTCCTTGAATATCAAACTTGACGTATTTGCATAGCTGTCAGAAGTGTGTGTTTCCGAAAGTGTAAAAATATTTGAGATGAAGGTACGGGCTATTTGGGAACTTATGAGGTTGGATTATTCTTCATTTAGAACGGAAATAAGTGTATGCTCAAAGCCGGAGCCATTAGCTGTTTTTCTGCTCAGGTGAGGAAAAGCATCTAAAAATGCATACGTAGCTTTCTCATAGTGCAGGAATGGGCTTCAGGGTGTCTTTGTGTACATTAACTGAGATCAGTGTAGCTTTATTGAGGTGGTCAGATCCTGTAATCATGAGAATAAGTGCAGCGGTGGGAATTTGTTACATCTTTATTTTACTGTGGTCTTTAAAAATGCCATTTGGAAGAATTCACTGCTAAAGGCTGAGGGAATTCAGCATAGTGACAGAAAGTGCGATGACATGAAAAGGAAGATTTCCAGGTTCAGAAGTCTCACAACAAAGGTGTGAAAATTATGTTTAAAGCACATACTTAGTAATCCATCTTGTCATGGAATAGTTGATTTTTTTTCTTTAACCCAACCCCCTGCCCCAAGTATAGGTACTCTGATCTTTCTTCACATTGAATCTGGATGATGTGGATGATAACTTTCTGCATTCCAAGCTTTAGTTTTGCTCCAGTCAGTAAAACTGGAGCACATTTTGATGAAAGCTGAGAATGACTTCAGAAAATCCCTGGAAGTAGCTGTCAGTCCTAGGAAGGAATAAATGGAGTCAGCCTTAGCAGCTGCAGTAACAACCAGCTATGCAAAGTTCATGGGTTGTAGGAGAGCAATTCTTAGTGATTTGCAGTACTAATCACTAATTGCGCCTGGGACTGGTAAGATGACTGCAGAGAGAAATAATAGGAAAAGGAGGACCTGTTGCAATTGTGACAAAAGTATATAGAAAATAGCTCAATAGAGCCTTATTTCTTTGTAGAACTCTAAAGATTTTAACCTGCTTTCTGGTTTTTTTTGGTTTGTTTTTTTTTTTTTTTTTTCCGTGGAAGGCTAACTGTCTTCCAGACTCTGGTTTTGTATTCCAGTGGTGCTTGGTGATAGATTTATGATGGCATTAAATTAAATAATCTTTTAATTTGGCCCATAAAGCAATAGCTACCTGGGAGGCGCAGGTCAGACCTGCGCTTCACATGTTGCTTATATGAATTACTTCATACCAAATTACATTGTCTGTTGAGGGCAGCTGATATTAAGGATAGCGACGGTCACTCTACCCTAGCTGGACCATTGAAAGGGTTGAGGAGTGTTGGGTGAACGGGGGGGCTAAACACAGCTCACTACAGCTACCTGAAAGGGGGTTGTGGCAAGGTGGGTGTTGGTCTCTTCTCCCAAGTAACATGCGATAGAACGAGAGGAAATGGCCTGAAGTTGTGCCAGGGGAGGTTTAGACTGGATATTAGGAAAAATTACTTTACTGACAGTCATGAAA